AAGTAAAGTTGAGGAGATAGTTGCACTTTTGTTTACAATAAAAGTTGCCAGTAAGGACATTGAATTGTGTCCAGTTAATCCCTGGAGCGTTAAAATCCCCCAAGATTAAGATATTGCTCCCCTGTGAATCATTAATAGTATTTTCAATGTCAGCAAGACATCTTTGGAAATCATCTGGTGTCGTCTGAGGAGGAAGGTAAAACAGACCTATTAAAATACGTTCTCTGCTAGAACACTCAATTTCCACCCACAGAGACTCAGGAAATCTCTCCAGATCCTCACGTCTTCGTGAACTATATTGTTTAACCGCGACCAATACACCGCCTCCTACTCGGCCCCGGGAAGAGAAATCACGATCATGACGGTAGACATCAAAACAAGGCGGAAAGTAGTCGGAGGAACTAACACTAGGACATAACCAAGTTTCCGTTAAGCAAACAATTGAGTAATTAGATAGAGTAATGTTGGCAAAGAAACATTCAGCTTTCGTCCGCAGGCCACGGACATTCTGGTAAAACAAATCGACGTTACTCATCTTTGTATTTAGTGTTGGGCTTGTGGGCTTCTTCAGACGAGTGAAGGAGTTCTTGACGAAGAGCGCCTCTGAAAGGTTTAAAAAGACAATCCTTCGGCCACAAAGCAGGGTCAGAGAGTTTCTCAAAGTCTTCGGCTGCTACAGAGACGTGAAAAGAGGCGTAAGTGTTGTAGCGAGTCTTCAGTCGGTGGCACTTCAAGTTTTCCACATCGAGGGAACACAGATGCCCAACGACGTCAGTGGAGGTGGTGACCGGATCCAGCTTGGTCACAAACAATGCCCTCCGGCGGGAAGATGAGGGGGCAACGCTCAGCTTGCACGCCACGGACGCTCCGGCTTGCGCGGGGATTCGAGACTTCGGGCTGATCGGGTTGGGCTTGACAGGAAGTGGATCATCTACCGACGCCTCGCTCACCAGCGCAGATGCCGGTGCCTGCGGGCTCATCGGGTTCGGCTTACCAGGCAGCGCATCATCTTTCGTCGTCCCGTCTGCTGGTGCACCTGCAGGCTTTGCAGAGAGAGCCGAGGCAGGAGGGAAACGCAGGGCTGCAGCAAATGTTTTTCCTCCACAGGGCCCTGCCTGAACTTCAACATCAGTTCTTGCACGCTTACCAAGCACATCGCGTAAGCTGCGAACTTCCGCCCGGAGACAGGCGATGGAGCCTGCCTGGAGCTCCGCCTGCTGTCTCTGCTCACGACGGAGACGCGCGTTGTCTTCACTGAGGGAAGCAACCTCCTCGGTGAGGAAAGAAATTCCTTCCAGCGCGTCGAGGAGAAGGGACCGAAGGGACTGAAGGCTGGCGTCCCCACGTGCGTCGAGGCCATCGGGAGAGGAGGCAGGCAGCGTCGCCGGACGAGTAGGGGAGGCCGATGGCGGAGGAGGAGAGCGGGCGAACTGGTCGTCGGGGTCACCGGAGACCGCGCCGCTGACGTTAGGCCTAGCTCCACCGTTGATCTTGGCACAGCTTTGGCAGACAAATGAGCTCACCTCACGCTGAAGAAATGTGCGTTCGGTCTCCGGAAAGCATACGCACTTCGTATGCGCGCGAAGTTGGCACTCAGTGCAGCGAAGAAATCTTTGTCGTCCGTAAAAACAGCGAGAGCAAATCAGACATGCATCCTTGCTGGGCGGCATCTTATAATGCCGCCATTGGTATATGGCACAGATGCCATTCCACACATCATGATAGTGATCAAAGTGGCCAGACTGAATTTTGGAAAGGGTCTATACTGAAACATGTCGGGTCTTAGGAGGTCCGCTCCGCAATCTGGGATAGCGGCCTTGCAAGCGCCGTTTGGTGGCCTCTACGGATCGTGTATATGTCCTTAGTTTACTACACAGTTTACTTTTTGCAAACATAAATATGTAAATACAATATTTCCTTCATGGGAAACGCGTCTCATATCTCATACCATTTTTGGCTGTGTTGTAACTATGCCATGATGCCATGTAATAAAGTTCTTTTTTCTCTATTCTCCAGTCACCAACAAAGGAGCTCCCTTATACAACTGTTGGGGCACCATCGACGGCACGGCCCAACCTATATGCCATCCATCAAAGGACCAGAAGCCATCATTTTCTCGCCACAATCGGGTACACGTCATGAAGTATCAAGCCGTGATGTGCGCTAGCAGTATAATCTGTCAGACGGACGGACCCCACGAGGGCCATAGACATGATGCAGGTAGATTGAACAGTCCTGCTTGGGCCAATAGTGCTACTCCTAATCAAGCCAAATCGGATTTCATGTAAGCCTTTCTACTGGACAAACTACTTGGGCAGCTATACATAGGCACACATACAACTACTACAATAGAATAATACTAACTTGATATGGCCATTTAGCTTTCTCAAGCGCGCGCGCGAATATTGCCTCGAATATCAGTGTCATTTCTGTCTTCAGGACTGTGGACATGCCCCACAGGTCGGGCCCAGTAGTCATTTAGCTGCCAAGGGCATAGATGACAGGGCACTACTCGGTTAGAAGACAGCCTTGTCTACACTGAGAAAGCCAGTCACCACCCTACTGAAAAAAAAACATTTGAAATTCAAACTGGTCGACCCGTTTGAATCAAACCTGTCGATCCGTTTGAATCAAACGTGATTATGGGATACGGGTACCCGTTTGAAACGGTACCCGTTCGAAACGGTACCCATTTGATACGGATGCCCATTTGACACGGGTGCCCGTTCGACCTGGCACGTGACCACACGTTTGAACGTGCCATTCGGATTTGCTAGCCCTAAATGGGTATCGTCTGGGACGTTAATTATTTTAAACTTATTTAAGACGTCCCGAAACTCATAAACGTATTTATAACACGAGGAAAACACGCAGAACAAATGGGCTCGCGTAGGTGCCTGCAAATGGACAGGAAAACAGACACAAAGGATTGTTTCCAATTCTCCTCGAAGTTTATTACCTCTCCTGACGACAAGTACATACGTGCAAGCGATCTGTGAAATGTGCGAGGCACTTTAAGCTTTTATACAACTGAGAAGATTGCAAAGCAAACAAGACCCGAGGTATTTCTAGACTATACAGCTATAGTTTCGGGGAAATTATTTTTTCGGCAGCCGCGTGAATAGGCGCTGCATAATTCTACGGATAACCTGGAAGAGTACGCGTAGAAGAGCGGTCAATCGTTGCCAACACGTATTTTGCAAAGCACTTACCATAAAAATAGCGGACTTGAAAGATGTAATCCGTGATGTTTGTCGTCGCGGTCAAAGCAGGGCTACCACACAAACACAAAAACGAAAAGGAAGGCTCGTTGAAGTTTCAACACTATGCGGCGCACAAGGTGTCATATGCCGAACCCAGCCAAACCGCAAGAATTCCTTACTTCTTTGAAGAATCGCTTGTTGCCGATATACCCGTAGGAGTTTTCGAACATTTGGTGCACATCCCATACGTTGTCGAGAGACATTCCTATAAGTCCGCAGGGAAAGGCGGCAGATCGAAGCAGGCAGGACAAACGAAGTTGCAACGGAAAACAAGCAGACAAAGAAACAAGAGACTGTCAACGCGCGCGCAGCCGCATCTGGCTACGCTTATCAGCGTGAAGAGTGCCCTACCCTTTCTCTGGTCACGTGACAGAGCCGACCAGAGAAGAGGAAGGGGGCGACGGCGAGGTCAAGGAGCAAGACACCGGGACACCCCACCCCCCTCCCTCGCAACACTCTCCTCATGCATTCTATAAGGAAAAAAAAAGAAACAAAAAAAAACAACTTGCGGTTGGCTTTTTGTGGCAATGCAGTCAATGCTAGGGGAGAGGGTGCACGGACTGCTGTACACGCGCTTTTCTTCTCTCTCGGAGTTGCCACTGCACGTCGCGTTTGCAGCCTTGGAAAGGAAACGAAACGCGCGCATTTCAGCACGGACGCTGGAAATGGCGTCGGCCATGAGCTCGGCTTGCGCCCGAGCCAAAAAAGCACCCAGCACAAGCTCGTAATTTGACTGCTGCAACGGCGGGCGTGCTCTCGCGATGCTCGATGTTCTTGCAGGCACGTGTTCGCGCTACCTTTGCCGCGTCTTGAAATGTAGTGAAACGGACTCTAGAAGTACATTCTTTCATGCGGTCGCGTCTTCTGCGAGAGAGATTCGAGCTCAATAAGAAAATTGAGGCAAACAAGATGGACAAAGTCTTAAAGTTCTGTCAAAAATATCAGCTCACCAACGTCGCGCGTTTACGTAAAAAGAAGAAAAGAAAATGTGTTAGTTTTAGTTGCAGTATAAGCGCACATCAGCGCCCTTAATATATAAATGCAATTGCTTGCATTACGCGGACGATCTGAAATTAATGAACCGGCGCTCCCAGCCTTCCGGAAACATTGGCTGCCACGGCTCAAACAGCTCGGGAGGCACTCACTTGATCGAATGACGTTTTAGCGAACGCCCACGTTTCATCGAACGACACTTTAGCGTATAGTCGGACGCCGCGAAGCGGCTTTTTCGGGTGGGCCAAGTGAGTTCATATTTTTGTAATGAGCTGCGGCAGACTGTCGCCGCGAAGCGGCGTAAAGCGCAGCGCGACGGATGGGTTAACGCGCGCCCCCGTTATTCGCTAAACCGTCCATTCGCTCAAAAGTCGCCGCTCGCTAAAATGTCATTCGCTCTTGTGATATGGACCCCAAACAGCTCAAAGGGGCCGCCAATCTGTACGTTCAATACCAAACGGGCTCCCGGGAGCGGTTTGATTAAACCGGTACAGTTTGACGGTCACCGGTCAACCGCTTGTGCAACATGTTCACCGGTTTGAGCAAACGTGCGACAACTTTGCTTAAACGAGTCGCCCATTTGCCCCGACGAGTGACCCGTTTGCCAAAGAAGTGACCTGTTTGCCCAAATACGTGACCGTTATGGCTCATACGGGGGACCCCTTTGAGCCATACGGGCGACCCCTTTGGCAAACTGGTGACCGGTATGGCTAAACTGTTACCTATGTTACTAAACTGTTAGAGGAACGGGCGGCGACGCAAGAAGCCTTCCTTCGCCGCGGTTCCTTGCCCGGAGTCGTCGGATGCGTCGACGGCATCTTCATCGCAATAAAGGGGCCCTCAAAGTACAACCCTACCGTGACGAAGGTGCTCTACTGGTGTAGAAAACTGTACTACACCCTGAACGTCATGGTGGTAAGTACAACATATTTTCCAGTTCGTGTTGCTCCCAGACGCACAAGAAGTGAATACCAAATCGCGTTTACTCCGATAGAGTCAGGTCTCGTATAAAACGAATATCTGAAGTTGTAGCGTAACTTAGTGGGAAGGTGTCCGCCTGTCGCGGAGCGGACCCGGGTTCAATCCAGAAAATGGGCATAATTGTTTTGGAGATATTTTAGACATTTCATGTTTTACAATTAGAGCTAAAAAAAAAAAGTTTTCGACGAAACTTTGCTGAAATAAATGGTATGGGACTCCCTTTCGGGAGGCGTGTAATGAGGGAAACCGGGGCTTGGGCTGCCGGCTGGACGCCGCGAAGCGGCGTGTGCGGGGAAGAAACTGGATTGATAGTTTTGTAATGAGCAGCCACAGACTGTCGCTGCTAAGCGGAGTGAATGCAAGGGGGAGGGGGGGGGGGGGTTGGTTAACACGTTCCACAGTGATACACGCGCCGTCCAAAAAGGGTGACCCAAATGGCATGATCCCTCCGCGTCGTGTGTATAGCCATCTCCGGCCAAGGTGCACGACGTCGGGCGTATAGCCTTACTCTTTTTCGTAAGTGTTCGGGCCAGGGGCATTCCAGAGTCGTATATGTTTGTGTGTCCGGTAGACGCAGTGGCGTAGCCAGGAATTGTTTTCAATAGGAAAGGGAGAGGGAGGGGAGGGGGAAGGTGATTGGGATGTCCATGACTTGGGGGGGCGGAGGGGGTGGGAGGCTCTAAATATATGTGTATAGTATAGGGTCGGCTGGGGGGGGGGGGGAGGGGGGAAGGTTCTGAAATCCCAAAAGACTCCTCCCTGGCTATGCCACTGGGTAGACGTGGTGCTATTTAAACTTGTCCAGAAACACCTGTATGAGAAAAAAGCGACCCGTAAGGGTTGAGGAATGTATGCGACAACTGTACAAACTGTTCGCGAGCATCTGTCCTACCTCCCTTAGCGTGTCCTCTTTATTCTAGATGTCTGACGCCGACCTGCGTATTTTGGCCATCGACCCCAGGATGCCCGGCTCAACCCACAACTCATATGTGTGGAGGCGTTCGTGGGTGCGCCAGGAGTGCGTCGCTGGCCATCTTGTCAGGCACAATGAGCACCTGCTTGGTGAGTGATCTTAATTCAGCACCGTGAAGGCCCGTTCAGACACTTGGAGCCAAGTACGACAAAATGAGACAAGACCGGTTTTTTAAGCGTCTTACTACTGGGTGCGTTGCTGCGGAGCTGGTAGTAAGCAATCAAAAGAGGCTTAAAAACCGGTCTTGTCTCAGTCGGTTGTAGTTAATCGCAAGTGTGTGGAAAGGCCTTAACGTTTCAGTCAAAGGCGACCACCATTTAAGTCAAGTCAAGGTTCGTGGAAAAATTTTAGTTCTTGAGATACAGAAATAGAACATGCATTATCAGTTTTAAGGCATCTTTGTTATGAAGCACATACTTGACACTGGTAGGGAGTTTGAGTAGAGCATTCTTCACCTCCAAGAATGACACTCTATAGATCGATACGATGCACGCGCAAAGGTGTCAGCAAACTACTAGGTATTCTTTTCGGACGTACCGCAGCAATTGATTAAAACTAAATAATACCCGTTGATTGGTTCCTGTGAAAGCATTCTCCTAATGAGATACGAGTGAGGGACTAGAGATGATCAGTAGCACCTGTGTAAAATTGTTCAGATGTCTAAGGAACAGTCATATTTCCTTCCATGCAGGGGACACTGGGTACCCCCTGGAGCCCTGGCTGATAACGCCTGTGCCTGTGCGGCCAGCACTTGGCAAAACGGCTGGGCAATACAATCAGGCTCACGCCTCCATGAGGGCAGTCGTGGAGCGCTGTACCGGGCTGCTGAAGAGGAGGTTCCGGTGCTTGCACAGGCACCGAACCCTTTATCATCATCCGAAGATCGCCGCCACGATCGTGGCAGCCTGTGCGGTGCTCCACAATGTCTGTCTCTGCTCAGGAGAGGCTGAGCCAGAGCCCCAGTCAGACTCAGACAGCAGTTCTGACGAGGACGATGACGAAGAAGAAAGCGCCGACGCAGCTCGCGAGCGGAGAGGCCTCCAGTCGAGGCGTCTTTACAGTCAGGGGAAGGCTGTGCGGGACCGCCTTGTGCTTCTGCCGAGCACAGCCCACCTGCAACGCGTCCGTGACCGACTGCGTCGCATCCGTCGTCGCCGCCAGCACCGGTAATGCATCTAACTCGTCGCCGGGGCCACTTTGAAGTGTATGTGTGCGTGTGTGATTGTACACACACGCACACACAGGGTGGATGTTGTGCCGAAGCCATTTTGGACTTCGTGTGCGCATGTGTGCAGTGATGTGGATCTGCCCGAGTCATCTTGTACTTTCTTTGCGCATGTGCACAGTGCGGTGGGTGTTATTCCGGAGCCATTTTCGACTCTGTGTGTGTGTGCTGTGCCGTGGATGTGCCGATGTCACTTTGGAGTCTCTTCTTAGAGTGCACACTGCTGTAGATATTGTGCCGGAAAGAGCCAGTTTGGATTCTGTGTGTGTGCGTACGGAAAGTGTTTTAATGTATCGGGTGTAAGCACCACAGGCTTGGATGTATGTGCACGTGTAGTGTTTTTTTAACTTCTTTTTAATGTTTTGGGAGCATGCTCCACAGGTCTGGATTGCATGGGGCACATGTAGTATTGTTTACTTGTGTTCAATGTTTTGGGTGCATATTCAACAGGTGTGGATTGCATGGGGCACATGTAGTATTTTTTACTTGTGTTCAATCTTTTGGGCACAAACCGTTCAGATCTAACTTGCGTGTAAACTTGTAGTGCTTTTGACTCGTATTCATTGTTTTGGGTGCAGGCTCCGCAGGTCAGGATTGCATCTACACGTAATGCACTAGTAATCGAACTGTTACAAAACGTTAAACGTTGTTTAACGTTTTCGTCGAAAGCTCTACAGGTTCCTAGATTGCATGGGCACTTGTAATGCTTTTGATTTCTGTTGCGGCACTTGCAACTTTTTTTTTAGATAAGCTGATGAAGGTCCCTGACAGAGTAATGACAGGACTGCAAAGATGCTTGCAAGAAAGATCAAGTAATGCTATTCAACTAATTGTGCCCACTATGTTGCATCTTTGAGGTGGTGCACAATGGCTGAGGGTGATTAACTTTAGTCTCAACTTATCTGAGCTGAGGAACCGCATGTACCCTTGCCGCATCTAGCAGATGCCAACCGGCAAAGAAGCTCTTGTTAGCAAATGTGCATTTTTTTTAGATTTTTCACTGTACTATTGGGTTCGAATGAAATGCGAACACCGGGGCCCGTGGCCGTCAACAGATGCTGCGCCTGCAGGAGGCATCCGGAAACTGATAAAACTTTGGGGTGGAGAGTAGAGCGCTGCGAGCGGGTGCGTCCTATTCCGATGTGCTTGAGCCTCGCCCAGCACAATCCCAGTGTCCACACTGCGCCGGTGTTCTGCTAGAAGTTCCGTCACTGTTCGCATTTCATTCGAAGCCACTTGTACAGTCACTGTGTTTAATGCGGATTTCCCATAATGCTTGCATGTGTTGCGAGATATGCAGTACTTTGGAGCAGATGCTTAGGCCGGTGCAGTCCACAAATATTATGGTTGTTAGTCCCTGTAGCCGAAATAATTTGGCATAAACAAGTTCATGGCAAAGAAGTTCCTGGTGAGGATTCGCCGCAGTCGGGTGCTTGTATGACTCGTAGAGTACGCTGTTCGAAAACATGAATGTTAGCGGTGTGTATATAGCTTCAACGTTTAGAAAAAGAAATGTTTTTTTTTTGTTTTGGCTTGTTGCTACGAAAGGTAGACATATTCAACCGGTTTCCAGGAATGAGGAACTGCTGATTGCTACTTGTGTTTTTTTTCAAAAGAAGCTATGTCGGTTTATTGGTAATTTTCATCATATGTTTTTAAACCCACTTTCACGGCTTCGTCTTTAGACGGCCAGGTGGTGTTAATATTTTATTCGCTTGAAATGGTCAGTGAGCGAAACTGCCTCCGCAATTTTTTATTCTAGCCGATAGATACCGTCGATTTTCCTGGTGTCACAAGTATTACACCAGCTTCTTTCACATAAGAGCATACAGGCCACTGTATACACGTTTGCAAGTCCGGTCTCAAAGCGCTGCCATCTTGCTCACTGAGGTGCGCTTGGGCGTGACCATAATCCGATTACGACGCCTTAGCAAGGCTTCGTAATCGAGTTATGATGCGTCCAAACGCACCCAGCCGAGCAAAATGGCAGCACTCTGAATCCGGACTTGCAAACGTGTCTAATAAAGGGGGATCCTACAATCTTGTGTACACATTTTAGGGCCAAGAGTTACGTTATGAAAGTAACCATCATGCGCTGTGAGAACAAAATTAAATTGACTCCATCTTGTAAAACAGAAGTTTATAACCCTTCCATTATTGTAACAATCACCATCTTGTGACATAAATATTTACATTGGTCAGCAAAAAGAAAGGTACTTCTTGTGATTGAAATATTATGTACATTAGAAGGAAACAAAACATTAAGGACACGTCTTGGTGCACGAAAATAAATTGAAAAAAAGTAATAAATAAAAGAAAAGCTGCCAAGAGGCAGCACAGTCGAGAGGCGGCGGAGTGGGGGGCCTGTAGGGCAGAGGCAGGCATGGCTGGCGGGTGGCCGAAGTCACCAGGACCAGCAGCAGCAGCACCAGTGTCAGCTGCCCGATAGCCGAGATTTGCTGGAATGGCAAAAGTTTCGAATGATGACCATTCCCACTACAGATCACCCATGGAGAATAACCAGGGTTAACTGTATTTTGGCCATACTCTGAAGCCAAGAAATGTCTTACGCTGACTGTTTCCAATAGCAGAAACATGTTTCACTTGGCCTTGTGTTTCAAGCCATCTACATATTACAAGATACGAATGATACTCTGGGCTAGAATCTCAGGAGTGAAATATTGGCATTGAGGGTACACCATGCTCCTCGGAAGGGGAGATCGCAACTTCTATCACGGTGACTAAATAAACGCTAGGAACTATCACTTCATTATGTTCCATGAAAGCAGTTGTGAATATATGTTTATATATATATATATATAACGAAAGTGGAAGAGATCCAGGAAAGGCCTTTCTTTACTGCACCGACGTTTCAAGCGGGGACCGCTTTTCTTCAGGGTGAATGGTTGTGAAATGTCCTCTTCTTCTTGTTGATGTTCGTGTGGAAGAGGAAGAGTTACTATGAAGGGTATTAAAAATATTCAGAACAGGAGCAAAACAATTATCGTAAATCTTTGAAATTCGTAATTATAAACAATGTTAATTCAATTCAATAAAACGAAATAAATTGATTTGTAGTATTTGGCACAGTCTTTGTTACAGCTCCTGAGCACAATCACCCCCGAGCAACCGGAGCGCACACAAAAGTAGCAATGAGGATGTGTTTGGGATTAGCACCGCTTCGGGAGCGGAGGTCTAGACCACGCAAGGGTGCCGTGGCGATTTTTTATGAAGTATTTATGTCATATTTGAATGATGCTTACGCGCCCAAGAATTTAACGCAGCGGAAGGATTACCACGGGACGCACGCTCACGAGGATGTTCACGAGAGGCGTGGAACGAGCTCACGATGGCAGGCGCCTTTGGTGCAACAATGTCATCGACACGCTCGGCTAGTACAGTCCGTGCAAAACCAAAATAATTGTGTGGCCTCGGTCCTACACACAGCGTGGCAGCCAAGTGAGCACGCCTGGACTTGCATTAATACCACAATCAACCGAATTGAATTTGTGAATGAAAAAAGCCTCCTTCAACTCTCTGTCGTGATCAGAGCTAAATCCAGATTCCAGAAGGATGACACGTATATTTTCAATGCTATGCTCTTTAAGATGCATGTGTTTTGAGAAGGGAAGCGTGGGTAAGGACTTGATATGAGACTTGTGATTGTTGAAGCGCAACCGAAATGAAGTACTGGATTGTCCTATATAATCCATGTTACATAGTTTACAGCGTAAAAGATAAATAACGTTACGCGTACCGCAGTTGAGGTTGCCAGTGATTTTGAAAGAAAAGCCAGAGTTCGCGCTAGTGACAAGATTGGTGGTTTCGACATATTCACAAATTTCACACCTGGGCGTCTGGCAAGGTCTACAACCAGAAACGTCAGAAGTTATATTTTTCGAGTGCACCAATATGTCCTTAAGGTTTCTACCTCGTCGATATACCACGCGTGGTGATACCGGAAAAAGGGTGCGTAATTTATCGCTTTGCTGCAAAATACTGTGATGTTTCCTGAGAATATTGTTTAAATTTGGAAGGCGGGCTGAATATGTAACCCCCAGGTTGGCGTGCTCGTTTTGTGACATTTTGGGTTGGGCTTGATTGATAACTTGCTCTCGGTCAAGAGCACGTGCTTTTTCAATGGCCTTATCGACAATGGCTGGCGGATAATTCTGCTTGGATAGCACGAGTTTCAGATTGCTGGCGTTGCGTTCGAATTCATCTAAACTGGAGCATATTCTCCGGAATCTGTGAGCTTGAGAATAGGGAATACTTGTTTTGCAATGTTTAGGGTGGGAGCTCTTGAAGTGCAGGTACTGTTGACGGTCCGTCGACTTCCTGAAGAGTTTTGTTGTCAGAGCATTCCCGCTGATCTCGACTGTTACGTCAAGAAAATCAATGCTCGTTTTAGAATAACTGTGCGAAAACGTAATACTGGGGTGGAGACCGTTGAAATCCCGAATGAAGTCTGTGAGTGCTGACTCCCCGTGTGCCCATACCATAAATATATCATCGATGTATCGCTTATAAACCAGAGGTTGCAGAGAGCGACTAGACAAGAAGCGTGACTCTAAATCCGCCATAAAAAGATTTGCATAGTTAGGGGCCATCTTTGTGCCCATTGCAGTTCCCCGAGTCTGTAGAAAGTGTCGTCCTTCGAATTCAAAGTTGTTGTGTTCTAAAACTAACCTGAGAAGTGTTGCGAGGACGTCGTTGTTGACACGAATTGTTGGAGGGTCATTGTTATACGCCTTGATTACTGCTTCGATGCCATCCTGGTGAGGGATGTTTGTATATAAGGACGCAACATCCATGGTGACCAGGATTGCGTCAGTAGGAATTACAAGTTCTGTTATTTCTCGAAGAAAGTGATTTGTGTCCTTTATGTATGATGGCATCGTAGGAGGAAGGTTCATAATAAGGAAATTGACAAAGCTAGAAATTC